TGCAGACAAATGTGGCTGAATTGTCATGTTCATAATGTGGCTAAAGTTAAGAACAATCATTTTTCTATACTGTTGTAGTTTGGACATAGGACACATACACATTCTATATCAGTAGCATTCTCACATATTTTAACTGTAATGATCTTCTCTGTCAATTGCACACTTTTGTGGAGGTTACTTCAGCTACATGTATTAAAAATATTTGCTACAACACTTTTAGTAAGAAAAATAATACGTGAAGATGTCATGCAAACATTGTTCATCCCACATTTGTATGCTTTAAGCATACAAATTGACAAACCTTCATAACTGTTTCAATTCATGAACGAACTGTTTACTGAGTTTTGACACAAACTGAACCTAACTGGTTTGCTCACTTAGAATAGTCACTTACATGAATAGAAGGTTTAAAATGTCCCATTCAGACTGGCAACAATTTACCTCCACTTTGCACTGGGTAAATTTACAGTCTCTAGGAAAGTGGAGTTGCTTTAGTACTAAGTTTGAGTTTCTTCCAACCAGAATTTAAAAGCATAGCTTAGAAAGTGATAAAAAGATATGAGCAATGTCATCTGCTCAAGTGCTCACAGGTCAATGCTAGCAATAGTACCTTTATCGCAGAAGAGGACATCAAGCCATTTCCCTTTGCTGACTAACTCCTGCAATAAATTATGATTAAAAGCATTTTTTCTACATTTTGTTTCACCATGCAATTTCATAAACAGGATCTAGACACCACCATGCAGGTGAATCAATTATAACTGAAGCCATCGTCATAAAACCAAACTACAACAGAATATATTGGTTTTCAGACTGAAAACAAAACAAAAACCCAAACCAAAACACAGTCACAATAATGCCCTCTATACAGCACTTTAACCTGTCTTTCCTAACTCAACACAAGTAAACCTATAGTAATTTAAATGTGTTTAGAGATACAAACCGAAAGCTAAAGAAAATCAGGCTGCTCTAGAACCTTGCCATTGCCTACAATTTGTAGATAATGCCCTTTGTAGGTACATAAAATAGATCTGCCCTGTGCCTGACCAGGTAACATAAACACCTGTAGAACTGTTTATAAGTGCCACATAGTCCTTTACTACCCAAATGTTACAAATGGGATGCAAACCAAAAAACACTACAGCACCAACAAAGCACTCATGTCATGGCTTCAGAATTCTCACTGTTATAAATTTAACAGAATTTCATCATTAAATGTTGTTCTCTTAAGAGAATTTCTTTTTTTTGTTTTTGTTTCGCAGAGTCCAAATACCCATTAGCCAAATACCTCTCTCTTCCCTGCTATTTCTTTCACAGCATTAAATCAGACATGTAGAGATCTAATGAAGGCACAGGGTAATACAATTAAAATTACAACCATTTAAAAAGACAAAAAGATTATGAAATCTATCACCGATGACTAGCAGAATAAACAGCTGTAACTCCTAATTTTGCATCACACTTGCACCATTGCATGTATACTTAAGCCAAAATACATCAATTTTAAATATTAATTAATGGCAATATAAAAATCAAGAAAGTCACTAAACGTATTCTTTCAGAAGGAGTTTATTTCTGTGTTTATTTCACTTTAAGAAAGCAGCAAGTTATCTGATATTTCACATTAATATGAAAATACAAGGATAGCATTTTTTATACTTTTGTAACTCAGTACCATAATAGGTACCATATTCATACCCTGTTTTCATGCTGTTAGAGAAGCTGAAATGTTGTCACAGTAGTCTGTCATTCGTCAAATAAAATACGTTAAAAATAAAACAGACACCAGTGTGACCCTCCATTTTTTTTCTGTTTCTTTTCCTTTAAAAGTGGTGTAGCTTTAAGCAGCGTATTCTTTGAAATAGAATAGTCCCTCTGGCCTAATGTCAAGACAGCTTAAAGTTCTCTATCGACTTATATCTAAATACTGATGGTGGTACCCTAATAAACCAAAAAAAAAAAAGAAAAAAAAAAGCAAACCTTTTTATTTTAAAATAATTTGAAACAGTATCTAGCTGTCCTAGTTTCAGCTGGGACAGAGTTAACTTTCTTCACAGTAGCTAGTGTGAGGCTATCTTTTGGATTTGTGGTGAGAAGGTGGCTGATAACATACTGATGTTTATAGTTGCTACCAGGACAGTCAAGGACTTTTCAGCGTCTCTGCTGTGCCGGTGCCTGCAGGTGCAGTAGAAGCCAGGAGGGAGCACAGCCCCAGTTACTAGCCTGGGATTCAACCTTAGTTTTAGGATTAAGACCCAAATTAGCCAATAGTCTATTCCATATCATGCGCGTTATGACCAGTATATAGATGAGGATCTGTCCGGAAGTGCACACTCTCTCTCCCCCTCCTCAGGTCATCCCTCTCTCGGGGTTGTCTTGCCCTCTCAGTCAGCTCTCAGTCTCTCAGACAGTCAGGCTCTTATCTTTTCTAAGACTGTGGTTTCGAAACTCTCCCTGCTCTGGGATTGTTATCTGGGAATGGGCTCATCCTTGGTCATCAGGTGGTGAGCAGTTTACTGTGTATCACTCCTTGGTATATTTGTATATATTACTAGTATTATTCTTATCATTATTATGGTAGTTTAGTTACTAAACTGTTCCTATCTCAACCCACGCGTCTTTTTTCCCTTTATCCCTTTAATTCTCTCTCCCATCCCTAGGAGGCAGGGAGGTGGAGCGAGCGGTCATTGTGGCCTTTTGCTGCTAGCCAAGGTCAAAACCATAACACTAGTGCACAGCAGAACTGCAAAAGTCCTTGAGTTAGCCATTTAATAAACGATGAGAATTAAACAGATAACATGAAAATTAAAGCAGTATAAGACTCATAAAGCTTAAACATAAGGTACTGTGCAATGCAAAAAAGTAGAGAAAAAAAGTATAAAAATAGGATCTTAAGGCACAGAGTGGAAGTATCCCAAGGGAAGGAAGATACCAAGGAGGGAGAGCTGTTAGGAAAGACTGAAGACAAGAGGCAAAGGGACCACTAAAGGTCATAACAAATATTCAAAATTGAAGCTTTGCAGCAGAAAGTGATGACCTGAAACATTTTACATGTCAGTGCCTTTAACACTTTCCACAGAAAGCAGGCTCACACCCAGACTGCCAGCATCCCTGCCTGGCAGGCTTCCCAGCTCTCTAGGTATCCACAAAGCTCTTTGTTTCCCAAGAAGTTCTGCCCAGAGTGCCAGAAAAATACTGATTGTCCAGTGTTTGAGAGTTAACATTTTCTGATGGTGATACTCGTAAATTGCTATTTTTTTTTTCTCTTTTGTAGCTACAAAGATACAACAACCTTTCTTATTCCTCAATTTTTTTTACATGGAAGGGACAGGCATCTCTTACATAACAGATATGCTATAATTCTCCACATCCTACTAACCTTTCTGTAAATTAGTTCCCATTTGAGTTCACTTTGTCACATCATTTAGTCAAAAGTAGAAAGATGTGGTTTCTGCAGTACTTTTTAATAGAAAATTAAATCTTCCCATCTGTAGTAGAAATACTTCACTTATGTACGTTATAATAAGGCAAGGTCTTTACAGTAAATTGGTATCGTCTGTCACATCAAAGAATGTAGCTGAGGGAAACAACACAAAAATCCTTCTTTCAATCCATATATCTGTGTGCTTGAAATTTTTAACTAGTTCTCCACTTACGTCAATGGGCCTAAGATACTACCTTCTTTTACTAGTCTTGTCTTGTTCTCAGATCATCATGGCCTCAGGAATACTATTACAATGTCCCAGAAATGTATTTCTCTTCTTCACAACCAAACTACAATGACACTTTGCAATCATCTTATGATCAATTACCGTATACAGCAACTTATCTAACAACACCATGAGTCCCAGGGTACTCTGCGCTGGTTCACTTCATCCCATTTCCACTTGCTATAGTCCATAATGTCATCAAGCTTTTCCAGTATAATATTCAGGTTTTTCTCCATTTTAACAACAAATCTCAAATTTGGCTTAGTGAGCTGATTCTGTTAGTAATCATCTACTCCTTTTTACAAGGTTATTAGTAAAAATACTAATGAGATGAGCCTCAAGACTGGTCTTAGACACACTGCTTTAACCGGAATACCTTCTCTTTCAGGACCCATTGCAGTCACTCTGTTAGCTTACTAAAAATATAATGTTGGTCATCTGAAGAAAAGTGAGTTCCTTTGGGGAACAGGGAGTATTGCTCTCAGTGACACACCTCGAAAAGCTCAACTGGCCTTTGGCCCCAGAAAGTGAGGGTTTCCTATACTTAAACATTCAGTCTCTTGATTTTTTCATTGTTCTCATGTTCCGTGTGTCTCTTCCGACACCAACAGAGCAGGGGCTTTTTAACACCTCTGTGCTACAAAGAAAGAATAACTAGGTCATTTAAAAAACTAGTTTATTTGATTACTCCTTCTTGCTTAGGTTTTTTTTTTTCCCATTTTATTTTTATACCTGTTTTTAAGCTACTGAAGCTTCTCAGGAGGAGAGTCTTGGGTTGATGATCAGCTCTTTAACCATTTCTCTTGCAATTGCTGTAGAGTTACAATCGCTTAAACTACCCTATAAGCCTTATTCAAATTATAAAATCTGCAATTTTAAGCCTGCTACACATAAATGGTATTATATGGTTATAGAAACAGTATTTAATATTTTTTCTGAGATGTGTTATTGTCATTTCAAAATAATACAAACACCATTATAAGATCTCACTAGTAAGAAGAAATTTCTGTGACAAGTATGGAACAAGTTAATTAGTTGCTCTTATTTTTCACAATTAGTCAATTAGTGTTAGCAAAATTATGTACTGTGAATGACAAAAATGAAATTCACCTAGTGAAGAAGTCTGTCAGCACTTCGCTCTCAGCTTTAAATGTTTGTCTATTATCTGACACAATAGCCACATGCAGTATTTATTATGAGTAAGTGACATCTCAATGGAAGCCCACAAAACAAAAGATACTGCTCCTATGCATAACAAAAGCAAAAAAAAATCAAATTAAGATTACTTACTTGATTAAGTATATCTTGTTTCTGTAATGCATGCAAGGAAAGAAAGAACACACATACATTAGTGCAGTGCCATAACACTCAGGCTCTGGTTTTGTATTATTTTTGTTGAAAGGTTAGTAATGTAGATGAACAGGTTTAAGATATTAGAGAGAAAACCCCATTTTCTTGCATTAGCACATATGTCAAGGAAATGGTTCTAAGCCAGCATTCTAGTCTTGATTAGAGAGTGCAAGCAATTCATTTTTAACCATGCGATGACAGAAAACCAAGAAAAAAAAGTAAATACAATGTTTGTCTTTCATCCCTGTGTACTTAAAAAAACCCCAACATTAAAAATTACTTGTTGCCAAGAATACTTGTTAGTGAAGCTGCTTAATCAGAAGTGAATGTGATGATAAATTCTATAAATAGATTAACAACAAAGGAAGGTTAAGGAGAATCTCCATCCTTTATTGGATGGGGGGGGGGAGAAAAAGGGACAAAGGATGATGAAAAGGCTGAGGTACTTAATGTCTTCTTTGCCTCAGTCTTTAACAGGAAGACAAATTGTTGTTGGAGTACCCCATCCCCTGAACTGGAAGACAGGGAAGGGAAGCAGAACGAAGCCCCTGTAATCCAAGCAGAAATAGTTAGTAACCTACTACACCACTTGGACACACACAGGTCTATGGGGCCAGATGGGATCCACCCAAGGGTGCTGAGCTGTTAGAAGTGCTCATCAAGCCACTTTCTATCATTTATCAGCAGCCCTGCCTAACTCGGGAGGTCCCAGTTGACTGGAGGTTAACAAATGCGATGCTCATCTACGAGAAGGATTTCAAGGAGAATCCAGGTAACTACAGGCCTCTCAGTCTGACCTTGGTGCTGGGGGACCATGGAGCAGATCATCTTGAGTATTATGTGTGCAGGACAACCAAGCCATAAGGCTCAGTCAGCACATGTTTATGAAAGGCAGGTCCTGCTTGACTAACCTCATCTTCTATTACAAGGCAAGTTGACACGCTTATAGGAAAGGCTGTGGCTGTTGTCTGCCTAGACTTCAGCAAAGCCTTTGACACCATTTTCCACAGCATTCTCCTGAAGAAACTGGCTGCTCATGGCTTGGATGGGTGAATGCTTTGCTGGATAAAACATTGTCTGGATGGCCAGGCCCAAAGAGTGCTGGTGAATGGAGTTAAATCCAGTTGGCAGCCAGTCACAGGTGATGTTCTCCAGGGCCTCAGTACTGGGACTCATTCTGTTTAATATCTTTACCAATGTTCTAGATGAGGGGATTGAGTTCACCCTTAGTAACAGAGGGTGACAGACACCAAGTTGAGCAGGAGTGTTGATCTGCTTGAGGGTAGAAAGGCTCTACAGAGCAATTTGGACAGGCTGGATCGATGGACCAAGACCAACTGTATGAGGTTCAGCAAGGCTAAGTGCTGGGTCCAGCACTTGGGTCACAAAAGCCCCTTGCAATGCTACAGGCTTGGAGAAGAGCAGCTGGAAAGCTGCCTGGCAGAAAAGGACCTGGGGGTGTTGGTCAACACCCAGACAAATACGAGCTGGCAGTGTGCCCATGTGACCAAGACGGCCAATAGCATCTTGGCCTGTATCAGCAATAGTGTGGCCAGCAGGACTGGACAAGTGATTGTCCTCCTGTACTCAGTACTGGTGAGGCTGAACCTCGAATACTGTGTTCAGTTTGGGGCCCCTCACCACAAGAAATACATTGAGATGCTGGAGTGCATCCAAAGAAGGACAACGAAGCTGGTGAAGGGTCTGGAGCTCAAGTCTTATGAGGAGCGGCTGAGGGAACTGGGATTGTTTAGCTTGGAGAAAAGGAGACTCAGGGGAGACGTTATTGCTCTCTACAACTACCTGAAAGGAGGCTGTAGCAAAGCGGATGTCAGTCTCTTTTCCCAAGTAACAGGTGATAGAACGAGAGGAAACAGCCTCAGGTTGTGCCAGGGGAAGTTTAGATTCGATATCAGGAAAAAATTCTTCACCAAAATGGTTATCAAGCATTGGAACAGGTTGCCCGGGGAAGTGGTTGAGCCACCATCCCTGGAGGTATTTAAAAGTTATGCAGATGTGGCACTTAGGGACATGGTTTATTAGTGGACTTGGCAGTGTTAATAGTTGGACTTGGTGGTTTTAAGGGTCTTTTCCAACCTAAATGATTCTATAAACACTAGCAAGTATTGTTGCAAAAGTCATCATTATATGCTGCTTTAGTTTCTAATATATTTTACTCCTTTTAATAAAGGTGCCATATAAATTTTCTACCTTTATCACAAATTACTACCATAACTTCCCAGTAAGAAGTACGACCTGAAAATTATAAATACACTTGTATTCTGGCACAATCAGTTTAATTTATGCAGAGACTTTTATTAAAGTAGTTACCAGATGTATCTTTGATATGTCCACAGAGTTAAGTTAGAAAAACCCTAAAACCTCTGTAAATCAGAAGGACCCTGTAGAAAGCTTCTTAGAAGCACCTATGCTACTTCCAAAAATGCAAAAATTCTTTGGAGTAGGCAGATGATTACAACCTGACTGCAAGCACTCTGCCAAACTTGGGGCTTCACTTCTCTGGGCAGATCAGATAACAGAATGTCTTGTGTTATGCACTCATTATCATAACCTTCTTAGAAATGTTTGTTTTCCTGGACTTTCTGCATATACATATATTTTTATTTTTTTTTTCACATCTGAACTGTGGAACTCTGGAGCACTGCCCTGCTCCACGTGCAGACCCAAGCTGTACCCTGACTGCTTGTCTGGCTGAGATCCCTCCATGCACCTTCCACCCTCACTATTCATGCACTGATTAAGCCTAAGAGCTCTAGATGGTAAGTAGGTAAGCAGGTAAACAAAAAATTACAACACACTCCAACAAATCCCTCAAAAAGGATAATGATGCTAGAACTACAAGCACACAATAACGTGTACTTACTGCCTATTTGGATACAGTCTTTAGCTCCATCTGCTTTCCTAATTCTTGCCAGCCTACTCAGTGCTCCCTTCAAAGTAAAATGTCTGAAATTAATTAATTTAGATAAATCTCAAATGATGGAAAGACTATTTATAATCACAGCTTTCCAGGAAGCTTATCTTAACATACCTGTGTATCTTACATCAGGTATAAAATCTAGTCTTAATCACTTATTTGACATTGACTTATAGAAGGTAGGAAGGACAGAGGTTCAGTAGCATTTGTAGAAGTTTCAGTCATCTCCCTTACACTGAAAGAAGAGTGTAAAAGCCCCATAAATAAACTCCCTTTACTGGATGACCTTCTGATAATCACATACATCACTTCCACTATGCCCAAAAACCACTCACTCGATAAGATATAAGATAATGGAAAAATAAACCAGATGACTTCAGGTAACAAGATTCACATACCAATAGCTTTTCTTTTGTTATTTGTGTCCCATAAATCAGCTTGTGATAAAAAAACTGCAATATAGAAGCAATGGAGTGGAATAAATTCCTGAATGCTTTAAGCAGGAGAAGCTTGAAACAAGAAGTTATGAAGGTTTTTTCTTAAGTACATAAATACATCACACTTCTAAATCTGCCATAGCTCTATGCCCCATGTTTATACGTAAATACCGGCATCACCTTTTGGTAGAACATTGACAAGATTTGAAAAATACGAGCGCTTATGAGATAATGATCTAGGAAATAAAGAACTAAAATGGAAACATGATGGCATCCTCCACAAAGAACAACAAAACAGATATGGTCTCTATAATATGTGGAAGAAAAAAGCTGCACAATGACTGATTTCAGCTGTATCAGTCAATTTTTGACATCTCATTTACAGATAATAATTAATTACTTAAATAGTACATCCAACTCATGGAGTCCTCATCTGACCAGACACAATCAACTTCCAAATTATTCCGTAAAGAGTTTAGCCATGTAGCAAGTTGAATGCATGGCAAAAATACAGACACATCTGTGCAAAGTCAGTTCTGTTTGACTTGGAATATTCACTTAACTGCAGAGGAAATTTCAGCCACTTTGTTTTGAGTTCATCAGCTTATGGCGTGAAACCTGAGCTAATAAATCCTACTAGATTCAAAGTAGCTTTGGGGCTAGATGTGTTTTCCTTATGTCGCACTCCCTGAAGTCTAAGTGCTAAGCAGCAAAGTACAAAAGCTGTCAGGATTGGCCTGGGTCCAAGACTGACCCAGTAGTAGTCAATAGCTTGATTCGTGCTGAAGACACTGAAGCTACCACAGGGTGCCTGACTTGCATTCCCTCCTTCCCTTCCATTCTCCCATCCTGCTCACTGGCTTGGGTGTTCTGCTGCTCTGTAACCCCTGGATGTTTCAGCACATTGGTAGGATTCTGCTAATGAATCACTGTGAAATGAAGAACGCTGGGAAACGCCCTAGTGAGTCACAGACTTAGCTCAGGACCTACTGTGTTTATTAACTCCAGCTTTGTACAAATTCTGCCAATTCACCTGGCTTCAGTTGGCAGTTGTCCCAGGTGCCCGTACTGATCACTTTTTGCCATGACTCATCCTTCACATACGCCCAAAATGGAGGAATGACTTTGTTAAGAGAGAGGAATCTCACAACTTTAAATACCAATTTCTTTATACAGAAACATCAATAATTTGATAATATGTTACCTATATGGATACATGTTATTTAAATATGCATAAAATACAGAATTCTTTTGTACTTTGAAAGGTTACACTTCACAAAATTGAAACCATTGAATAATGACTGAAATGAAGTGAATAATTTCTAGAAAAAAAGAGAATAATAAATTAAGACCACTATGAGCACAAAGAAAACCGCAGAAGTTAAAAAAAAAAAAAAAGGAGCAAGCACTGAGCTTGTAAATCAACAATACTCACTTTTCTAAAACAAACAAACATGACTACTTTCTAACAGCAATCAATTGAGGGAGGTCCTACAGTCCATGTTACACTGGAGAATTAGATTACCACAGCATTACAATCCTATTATAAGCTATGATTCTATTTAACTAAAGTAATGGAGATTTAAGATGATCATTTACAAGATCAACTCATACTATTTTACTGAATTATGAATTATTTTCCTCAGAAACTGACTAAAATTACCAACATTATGCTTTGCAAAGGTCAAAGCGTCAAAGAATTTTTCAATACTTAATGAGTTATAACTACCTTACTTTACAATAATTCTTGTCTTTTACATGCTGAAATGCAAGATTAAGTCATTTTCAAAATGGTTAGCACATTTTTCTATCTTGAATTCCACACAATGCAAGCATAGGTAGAAACATTACACTAGAAACATTACTGAAACAGATTTTTATGTAGCTACATTTTGAATCACACCATTAGGATGTACTAAGCAGACACAAATTGCAACTGACAATAACAAAAGAAAACAATCTGACTTTTTCTGACAGACAAAATCAAATATTTTGTCTAGTAGCGAAATCTGTAGTGACAATACACACACACACAACACTTTTTTTCCAGCTGAATTCTTTGTTTCAGAACATCAGAAAAAAATTCCCCTTTAATAATGGTGTTCCCACTACCAGAAACAACATCAGAGAAACAGAATTTAAAAAGAAATTTCAACCGAACAGATTTTTTCTAACTTTTGAAATTATGTTTAACACTTCCAATCCTTAAAGAGAACTGGGAAGCTTGTTATACTTAACATAAGTTTGTGGGTTTCTTGTGTCTGTTTAAATCTTAGAAAAGAGAATGTGTTTTTATGTAAATTATTAAGCAGGTCTGTCTAATGATGTTTATAAACTTTCAGTTCTTCTAAATATTCATATTTTTTGTTTCCCAAACAGTTTCATATACCCCAAACAGCTCATTTATAAATAACCTTCTATTTAAAATACTTAGATTTGCTAAAACATTTGTAAATATTTATCCCCACCATTTCTGACCATTGAAGAAAGAAGAAGAATTACCCCTTCAGGATTATATTTTGCTAACACACCACTGCCATGGAACTCTTCTAAGACATCCTTAATTTTCTTGGTGGAATCTGAATGAAGAAGAAAGAGAGAGAAAATTAAAATACATAAAACTGATTTACATAATATGAATTGTAATTAAAGAAACAAAACCAAACTGCTAATAGCTTTTCTCAATGCACATTAGTAATTTTCTCTAGCTGTGGGCACAAAGAAAATGAGAACATACTGTACCCTCTCACCAAATACTGTAAAAAACAGCAAGTAAACACAAAATGCTCAGAAAGAAACACTCTTTGACCCTATCCTTAACTATTGAATAGCATGTTTTTTAAGGAGTTATTTGCACAGACTATTTAAAGATACTTTTCTTGTCCTTGAAACCTGAATCAACTATGGAACACAGTCATTCCCAACAGCACTACTAAATCTCCTCTGGCATACCTGCCAGTGAATAGAAGAACTGATAGAGGAGCCTGACAACATCAAGATAAAGAGGAAACTTGAAGAATTTTTTTTTTTTTCCCCCGTGGTCATGTCACAGAAAACAAGTGTTGCTATTGAAACCTCAATTTTTTGCAGACTTCTAAAGATATTTTAAATACTGTCAACTACAGAAACTTTAGGAATACTTCTGTCTAACAGAATTGTGCAAAATCCCTGCAGTTCAAAAGCACATAGGTCTAACCTTTCCAATTTGTTTTTTTCTACTCACAGAATAACAAAACAGCTATTTCAATAAGTAGCCTACTACGTAAAACCCTTAAACCCAGATTCACTTAGAAAACATCATGCACATAACCATCTTTTAAATATCTCAGCAATATAACAAAAATAATTGTAACTCAATTCTTTCTTTAAAATGCAGTAGTTGAGTGCGTAACGGTCAAATGCGTATAAAGGCCACACCACCGAAGTAAACCATGAACAAGTAGTGAGCAGCAGATGCATTACAGAAGAAAACAGGTAAACACAATGGCTGCACATTTATTTCTACAGCAGAACTTGGAAGTAAAGGAGAGATGTTGAGTGGACACCAAGAACAGGACTATCACATGAGAAATTAGTTTGACACTTAAAATTACAAACATTGGGATCTAACCTTACTGATTTTTTAATTACATCAACAAAATATAGTATTGTAACAGTTCCTAAAAGTTAAAGAAATTCAGCACCTTAAACCTGAATCTAAAAAGTATATTTAGTAAATTTTGTGACCTTGAAGGAGAAAACGTAGCAGCAAAGGATTTGAAATATAGCTCTGTAACAGTTCATAACAGCTATAAAGAGGACACAGCAGTAAAATTCAGTTTTAAGTGCTGGTGGAGGAGTAGTTTCCCCTTCACCCTCACAGACAGCTTAGATTGCAATACAAATGTCTTTTCCCAATATTTGTCATTTTATGAATTGTTCATAAATTAAAACATCCAAGACTATATACGGCCTCAATAAAACAGTCTGTTTTCAGTAATTGGATGCATTTTAATGTTACTCTCAACTGTTAGTAACAGAGTTTAGCTAGTCTCATGGGCAGTCATGGCAAATATTTACTTGATTAAGTCACCTATATTCTTTTCGTTGTGTCATTTGAAATAAAGCAAATAAGTACAACTTTATGTCAAAAAGACAAAAACTATAAAAAAGAGTAAATAAGTATGTTAAGAAATAAAATTTACTAAGAACTGTAATTAGAAGCTGATGGGTTAGATATTTACTTATTAGGACAAGTACACAGACTGATGACTGAAAATTTTTTTTTTACTTGATTTCTATTATTTAAATATGTTTTCCAGTAGTCATATACAAGGTTGTATACAAAAATCATTGCATCTTATGATAATTAAGACAATAATCATTAAAATAGCAGTGTGGAATGAGCAGACGCATGAGAGAGATGACAGAACCTTATCCTAAAAAAAGGATTTTTCTGAACTTTAGAGGAAAGAGGTTAAACACAGATTAAATAGAAAGACAACAAGGCCTCCCCACACATCTTTAATTATCCAAAGAAAATGATAAGTAAATAATAAAAGAGAAATGGCCCATTTTCTAGCAGTTGTACAACAGCGTCTTGAGGTTTTCTCCCAGCAATGACCATGCTTCTTTCATTTCATATTTTGCCAGATAAATTCTATTGAACTTTAAATTAGTATCATGCCTATGCAACTGTAATTAAAAACAAAAACCTTTGTTATGTTACTTATTAAAAATAAATTAAATCTTTCTAATTTTGTTCGTATTCTTCTTAGTCAAGTATCATTAAGAGAAAATATTCTCTATTCCAGCAACAACACAGCTATTCACCTTTTTGGTACATGAGTTTAAAGCAGTCACACCCAAAAAGCATAGTTAATTCCATAGTTGAAATAACATCATGAAAAAAAGGTCTGTGGATGTAAATTTCGCTTTGTTTTTCCCAGTAAAATTCTTCAAGGGATTTTCACATTCTGGACAGGAGCTGTATTCATTATGAGCACCATGACATATATTTCATAGCCAAGGCACAACTATTTTTCACAATCTTTTCTTCACGGTCATTCTATCATTTTTTTTCAGTTCACATGACAACATCCATCTCTAACATGAATAGACATCTTTTAAAATGCTACAAAATGACACAGTGATATTTTAAGTTGAACACCAACTGATGATCTTCTGCATGCATGCTCTTCAACAGTGCCGACATTCCTCAGAAAAATTAATCAATCTTTTGTTCACGGTCATTCTATCATTTTTTTTTCAGTTCACATGACAACACCCATCTCTAACATGAATAGACATCTTTTAAAATGATACAAAATGACACAGTGATATTTTAAGTTGAACACCAACTGATGATCTTCTGCATGCATGCTCTTCAACAGTGCCGACATTCCTCAGAAAAATTAATTCTCCTTCCTCAGCCTCTAGTAGGCAAACTAGTATTAGGAACATGTTCCATCTTTAATAAGCTGACCTAAAAGGACACGAAGAATAGGTTAATTTTCAAGTTTCACTCTTATTTGGGGATCACTTTCAAAAACACAAGGGGCACTGTCTTGGAAAGCTCTATGCCAGTAAAAATGAGAAAATCCAATAAAATGCAATTCTACTAAAAAAAAAAAAAAAGTCAAGTAAACACTTTCCAACAAAAATAGACAAAAAAAATTTCCAGAAATAATATACATAAGTAACTGGGAAGTTTTCCCAAGTTTCATAACTAGGAAATAACAACAATGCTATGGGTTCCATTACAGTTTATTTAGTCTGCTCCAAATCATCTACATGCTCACTAGAAAATTGTGGTGGAAACACAAGCGTCAAACCAGAACCTGTGTTCTCAGTGTTACCTCCAAGTAGAGATGTTCTACATAACTTAGCAATTTACCACTTTGTGAGCAGTCTCAGTAAATTCATAAGCACCATGTTAAAATACAAATACAGTCTTAAGCTCTGTTGGGTAACTCTTACCTGTTTTTTATATCAAGAATAAATTCCTTCTTTGTCTAAGTCTCTGTATTCCAAGCTCTCCTCAAGAGAGACAGTTTCTACGTACGTTTAGATACAGCACATAGCCTGACACTGTAGTGCTTTAATCCCATTTTAGCTGCAAAGCTATAGGTGGCACAGTATGAATTTCAGGTAGCTTTAAATATAAAGTTTGTTTCATGAAACATCTCTCTTTTTTTTGGTTCTCACTATTTTATTATTTTTATTGCCCACTAGCCCAGTGTTTTGGGCATTCACTCAAAATACAGAATACGTACAATTCTCTGTTCTGTCTGAATAGATTTAAACTCTTAAAATTCAGCCCAACTTCTGTTGCAATTTGGATAGAACGCAGCAGTGTTTATTTAGCCAAGGGGTCGGAAGGAAAAAAAGTGAAAATGTGGCCCAGGAACCAGAGATTTCCTTGGATGAGGTGAGATGTGGTTTCCCACCTCATGCTACACTGAATTTGGGGCAGAACAAATGGGGTAGGCATGGTGTGGAAGACTGCAAGCTAAAGAGCTATCACATGGGAGATAAGTAGCTAGATTCCACTGCAGAAATTCTATTTTAAAATAAAGGCTCTCTATTTTAAAATAAAGACTCCAAAACAACAGATATATAAATGAGACTTGGGCTACTGTTGTATTGTTTCAGAATAAAGGCAGAGAGATTAAAATAATGACACTAGAAATAAGAAACCTGCATATGTAACAGCAGAAGTGTCAAAGTGTCTGATTTTTTTCTTAACTGTCTTTCAGTCCTTACAAAGATACTTTTTATAACTGAAGAGAAATTTACATACTAAGTTCAAATCTTTTAAGATTTAGCCCACATTAAAAATTGTGATTCATTTTTAAAATGACTCAACTTTAGATGAGAAGAATTGAGCACTCAGTTCACACTGGAATTTGGCGTACCATTTCTTCTGTAATCAGAAAACACAAAACAGAAGGAAAGTTTGACCAGATTATGCACTGTGTACATTTTCTCCCCATCCTCCCAGGAAAATTCTTGAAAAGGATTTGAAAAGAAAAAAAAAAAAAAGACAGACTTATAAGATAATTTATATAAAACTCAGCATAAATCACATGCTATATACACAAAACAGTTTTACAATCTAAAGGGAAATAAGCAGTAGAAAACATTTACTGGATTATGAGTAATTCTTTTATAAATCCAGATATGCTTTTCAATTTCAACAGAAATTCATAATAACCTGCATACTTATTGGACTGTAACTAATTTTAACACCTACAATAAAAAGTAGAGTAATAACCATTTTCTACCTCTATTTCCCTTTTGTAAACTTTATACAATATGAAAAATATCACAGGTATACAAAGTTCTAGCACGGTCAAGTTCAGAATCTGTATCTAGAAGATCCGGAGAGGTTTTTTATACATCTTATTACAATTGAGAAAAAAAAAGTGCAGTCTTTAATACAGAATTTTCTGCATGCCAACAAAGCCTAGCTCAAACTCAGACGACGTGCTTGATACATAAACCAATAAGATGCATGAAGAAAAACTCAGTACTCAGTTAACATAACAATTTTTATATGGGTTCTTATTCTTCTATGGACTTTTTATTTTGTGGATGC